AAGAATCAGCCTAACCTGTGTTAGTTTTATGGCCAAGAGCAGACCCAAACGCTGAGCGTTTGTTCCTTCAGGTCTCTCCTGGAACTGTGCTCCCGAGCCAGACTTTACCCACACTTTTATTCGAACAGTCTCTCCAGAATGAACTGGGGAACTATAAGCTTGGATCTACCCTTATCAGAGAATCTTGCCCTTGGATCCCTAAGCTTAAAATACAGCATACACACAATGTCAAGCACACTTCTCTGTTATTCTCACTGCTTCTAAACACACCATTTTTAGTGTTTTAATAGGGAATTCAAGCACACAACATCCATTCACTATCTTGGGTGGAGGGCAGAGTGAGGGTCCTGAGAGATCAAGGCCGTATGCCCAGGTCACAAGAGCACATGGCTCAGTGAGCTTGTTTAACAGCAGCTTCTTGGTGCAAGGTTAAGTAAAAGTCCTTAGTCCAGATTCTTACAGAGAAAGAAGTAGGATGCTAGCTGCCAGCACGGGTCTCTCTTGCAAGTTTAGCAACCACAGCAGATGAAGAAACCAAGCCACTTAAGCAAGCAGCCAGTGCAGCCATCACACTGGGATCAAGGTCCCCAATGTAATGATGAATAGAGCACTTCACCTTGCTGTCTCCTTCTCCAGAGCTGTAACATAAGTCTACCCATGAGGAAAACACTGGACAAACCCAAACAGGTATTCTACAAAATCACTGACCAGTATTCATTGAGTTCAAAAAAGACAAGGAAAGGGGTTGGGGATGTCACAGACGGAAGAAAAATAAGTGGCCGCAGACTCAATGCAAAGTGAGACCTTGGCCCACACCCTGGGACACAGCAGGAAGTGGGGTGGAATGTGAACAGTCTGTAGTTGATTATTTTTTGAGAAAATGTCTCACCATAGCTCAGGCTGGCCCTGAGCAAGTAGCAGTCCTGCCTCCCAATGACTGGGATTACAGGCATGCGCCACCATTGGGCTCAATTAAAGGACTGCAGGTTTGTTTTCTTATTTTGAGACAGAATCTCACTATATAACCTCAGCTGGCCTGGAACTTGCCATGTACACCAGGCTGGCCTCAAACTCACAGAGATATGCCTGCCTCTGCCTCCCAAGTACTGGGATTAAAAAACAGCACCATCATGTGAGCCTGGGGGCTTATAGTTTAATTAGCAGTATTACATCAAAGTTAATTTCCTGATATTGATCATTGAACTGCTGATAACTTGTCTCAAACCAAAACAAAACAGAAACAAAACAAGTGGGGATTGGTTGGAGGGTTCTTAGGTAACTGGGGACTTGCCCAAGTGCCCTCACCTCCTGCTTCCTGGTTTGAGATGTGATATCTTCCTCCCACCTGTGATTTTGCATTTGTGGTGAGGCCCTTGCCAAAGCTCACATCTTGCTGATTGGACTTTTGGTCTCCAAATTGATGTTTTAACTAAACCTTTTTTCCTTACAAACTGAGCTTGAGTCGGGTATTTTGTTGTGGTGAAAATGGACTATGCAAGGACTTTGATGTTATCAGCTACATGGCTAACAAGCATACTGCATTTTTAAAATGATCATTTACATAGCTTCTATTTGAATAAAAAAATTAAAAATATTTTATTTATTACTATTTATTTTTTTTGTTGTTGATTTTTTTTTTTTTTGAAAAGGTCTCTCTAGTCACAGCCTGCCTGGAAGTCATGATGTGAACCTGGGTGGCCTTGATCTCACAGAGATCCACCTGCCTCTGCCTCTTGAGTTATTTTATTATTTTTTTAATATTTTATTTATTATTTTTATCTTATGTGTATGAGTGTATTACCTGCCTGTATGTGAGTGCACCCATGTCGTGCAATGCCACGGAGGTCAGAAGAGGGCGACGGATTCCCCTGGAACTGGAGTTAAGGGCGGTTCATAGCTATTATTTTTACTTTATGTGTTTGAGCATTTTGGGGGGGTTGTTTTGTTTTGTTTTTAAATTTTATTGAATTCCTCTATATTTCATACAGAACATCTTAATCAACTTTATACCTCCTTCCCCAATGGCGCCCTCCCATAGTCTCCCCCCACCACCCACTGGAATCTATGCATTATGTCATTTGTGTTAAGGTCTGTCATGTCACATTAGTGTCCCCAGGCATCTCTCAGTGCAAGTTCATCCACTGGGGACTAATCAGCCTATTTAGAGTCCCTCCCTTTAAGAAGATTGGTGTATGAGCATTTGTAATACCTGCATGTAGGTAGGTGCACCCAAGTTGTGCAATGCCCGAAGTGGTCAAAAGAGGGAGTCAGATCCCCTGGAACTGGAGTGACAGATGGTTGTTAGCTGCCAATGTGGGTGCTGGGAATTGAACCTGGGTCCTCTGCAAGAACAGCCAGTGCTTATAATTACGGAACTATCTCTCCAGCTCCCCGAATAAAAAATTTTTGAGACAGAGTCTCACTATATAGCCCTGGCTGGCTTAGAACTCACTATATAGACCAGACTGGCCTCAAACTCACAGAGATCCATCTGCCTCTGCCTCCCAAGTGCTGGGATTAAAGGCATGTACCTGGCTTTAAATAAGTATTTTAACACATGTACATTGATAAAGATTTATTTATTTTTATGTGTATGAGTGTTTTGCCTGAATGTATATAGATGTACCACATGCATGCCTGGTGTCTTGGTGTCTATAGAGGTCATAAAAGGGCATTGGATCTCCTAGACTGGAGTTAGAGATGGTTGTGAGCCACCGTATGGGTGCTGGGATCTGAACCTGGGTTCCCTGTAAGAGCAACAAGTGCTCTTAACTTCTGAGTCATCTCTCCAGTCCCAACTATATTGTATTTCAAAGAAGCTTGGTCATTTAATGAAGTTAGGGGAAATTGTCTTAAATTTATTACTAAGTCTCAAATAATTTTGGAACTTCTAATACTGATTTTTTTTCTATATAAGAATATAGTTTGGGGCTGGAGAGATGGCTCAGTGGTTAAGAACACTGATTGCTCTTGCAGAGGACCCGGGTTTGATTCCCAGCACCCACATGGCGGCTACAAACCGTCCTTAAATCCAGTTCCAGGGGAATCTGAAGCCCTCTTCTGACCTCTGCGGCATTGCACGACACACGTGCACTCACCTACATGTAGGCAATACACTCATACACATAAAATAAAAACAATAAAATATTAAAAAAAGAATATAGTTCATCTACCATTATATTTAAAAAATAATTTCAGCTGACACATGCCTTTAATCCCAGCACTTGGGAGGCAGAGGCAGGCGGCTCTCTATGAGTTCGAGGCCAGCCTGGGCTACATAGTGAGTTCCAGGTCAGCTGGGGCTACATCAGGACCCTGTCTCAAAAAGATTAAAAAATAATAATTTCACATTTTTATCAGTTAAAATTAGGTACAGTCACATACCTTTAATCTCAGCACTCGGGAGGCAGAGGCAGAGGCAGGAGAATCTCTGTGAGATTGAGGCTAGACTGGTCTACATAGCGAGTGCTAGGCCAGCTGGGGCTACAGGGAGACCCCATCTCAAAAAGACCAAAAAAAAAAAGAATACTAATATCCATCTTCAGTAGCTTAAATAAAGATTTCTTCATGGTGTTAAAGTTATGTTTCTCAGACTTAAATTTTAAGATTCAGGGCTGGCAAGATGGCTCAGCTATCTAAGCTGTTACACTGATACTAGTTTTATGACGTAGGCCTTATCTTCAGGCTAATAATATAAGTTTTGGGTCTTTCCTAGGTTTTGATGATGATGACTTAGAAGTCCATAAACACTTATTTCTGGATAAGTGCCTGCAGGGACCTGGCTCCAGGTCACAGAGCCAGGCTCTCAAAGCACTCAGTGGTTTCTGAGTGTATTCCAAAAGGAGCGATCAAAGTCAGTTTCCACAGTTCCTTTCTTTTCCTTCAGACAACTGCCTTGAGTTGGAAATGAGATACCTCTCTTTCCAACCCTGACCCTTCAATAATGTACATACAGGGTATGAGGAAACCTGTCCAATTAATCTCCCCAACACAACTTAAAAAGTCTCTTCTTTTTTAAAAGTAAAACTTTCTCAAAAAAAATCAGATCAAATTAAAGATCAAGTTTTGTTTCTTTGGACATTGCAGACCTTGAGGACTTTGTTTCACTGTTGATAACAAAGCAGCATCAGGTCACAATTTTCTATCATCTCATTCTGTGAATCCTAGATAACCCAGAACATAGTTTAATAGTTTATTTCATTAAAAAATTAAAAAATTTTATTTATTTTACGGGTACGTGTTTTGCCTGCATGCATGTTGTGTACCACGCTCGTGCAATACCCACAGAGGCCAGAAGAGGGCATCAGATCCCCTGGAGCTGGACTTTTGGATGAGTGTTAGCCACCATGTGGGTGCTGGGAACCAAGCACCCCCCTTCCCCCCTCCAGTACAAGGAAAAAATATGAAGTAAAATGTGATGTAAATTACTGTACAGAACAGGAACTAGCACAGGAGTAAATCATCTCCCTCACAGAACTACCGCTGTAGAAAGTGGGACAGTCACACTCTGCTTACACAGCCGCTTCTGTTCCTCACAAGCACCTGGGGAAAGTTCTATTAGGCTCATCATTTTAGAGATGAGGGGAGCCAGGTTTGAGATAACAGTTCTAGGACTCACTGAGGACCTAACTCCAAGGCACTAAGATTCTTGTCTCTCCTGAACAAAGTTACATCATTTTATTCCTCGATACTGGGGTTTTTTTCTTCATTTATGTTACGTGTATGAGTGTTTTACCTGCATGTATATATGCGCATCATGTGTGTGCAAGGCCCTCAGAGACCAGAAGAGGGTGTGGACTGCCCTGGAAGTGGAGTTATAGATGGCTGTTAGCCACCATGTGGGTGCTGAGGCCAGTGCTTTGAACTGTTTAACTCCAAGGACTTAGAACATTCAACGTTCATCAAATAATGAAACCCAAAGATGTTCTATCAGTTAAAGAAATCTTTCCTTAATATCACATATTGTATTTTCTTAGTTTTTTAGCCCTTTTAAATTCTAGGATCCAACAGGACATCCAGCCCAAAAGAGACCTCACCCACTTTGTCAAATGGCCCCAATACATCCGGCTGCAGCAACAAAGGGCTATCCTCTATAAGTGGCTGAACGTGCCCCCTGCAATCAACCAGTTCACCCAGACCCTGAACTGTCAAACAGCTACCCTGCTCCTCAAGCTCCCACACAAGTACCGGCCAGATGCAAAGCAGAAACAGGCTGCTGGCCCGGGCTGAGAAGGCTGCCCGCAAAGGGGACGTCCCCTCCAAGAGAGCTGGGGTCAGCACCGTCACCACCTTGGTGGAGAACAAGAAGGCTCAGCTGCTGGTGATCACACATGACGCGGACTCCAGCGAGCTGGTAGTCTTCCAGCCTGCCCTCTGTCACGAGACGGGAGTCCCCTACTGCATCATCAAGGGGAAGGCCAGGCTGGGGCGTCTGGTCCACAGGAAGACAAGCACCACTGTGGCCTTCACGCAGGTCAACTCAGAAGACAAAGGCGCTCTGGCCAAGCTGGTGGAAGCCGTCAGGACCAATTACAATAACAGATAAATGATGAGATTTGGCGTCACTGGGGAGGCAACGTCCTGGGTCCAAAATCTGTGGCACTCATGCCCAAGCTGGAAAAGGTAAAGGCCAAAGAACTCACCACCAAACTGGGTTAAATGTCCACTGCTGAGTTTTCTGTGCATAAATATAATTAAAGAATTTCCCTTCAAAAAAAAATTTCTAGGATCCAAGAAGAGGGGAAAAGTATAATTTGCTATGCATTTTATGCCAAGAATGGTGCAGACCACCTCAGTAACTTTATCTTATCCAACACTCATTCTTTCCACAAGGTACCTTTACTTTTGCAGATGAGGGACTGAGGCTCAGAAAGTCCAATAATTTCCTCAAAGGCAAATGAACAATAACTGACAGCTGGGACGTGTACTCAGGTTTCCACACCTGAAATGTCTTTGGTCTCTATCTTGCCCTGATACCTTCCACAGCGCACACACCATAAAATTTTAAGAAACAGACTTGTAACAGGTGAAACAGAGTACTGTGTTACTGTATACACCATACAAATATTTAAAACAGTAAGCATTGGCTGAAGGATTTCTAAGTTTCTGAAGCTGGCTCATAGAGAGTAACACTGTGAGGAGATGTCAGATGAAAGCCAGACATTGTGGCTCATGTTCTAATTCCAGCACTCAAGAGGCTGAGGCAGGAGAATTGCCACACGGTCCAGGCAAGCCTGGGCTACAGAGTAAGGCCCTGTCTCAAAAAAAAACTAAAACAAGGGACTTGCCGGGTGTGGTGGCACACACCTTTAATCCCAGCACTTGGGAGGCAGAGGCAGGTGGATCTTTGTGAGTTCGAGGCCAGCTTGGTCTACATAGTGAGTTCCAGGACAGCTGTGGCTACAGGGAGACCATGTCTATAAAAGACAAAAAAACAAGGGACTGGAGAGAGGATTCAGCAGTTAAGAGCACTGGCTGCTCTTACAAATGACCTGGGTTTGGTCTCTAGCACTCACATGGTGGCTAACAACTGTTCATAACTCCAGTTCCAGGGGTCCGACGCCCTCTTCTGGCCTCCACGGGTTTGCACGCATGTGGTGCACTTATATACATGGAGGCAAAACATTCATACACAAAGATAAAAATAAGTAAGGAAAAAAATTAAGACCCTAAAAACAATTCAATATTGGGAATGAAGGTATGGAGTCAAGCCCTTGCCCAGCAGGTGCACAGTGCTGGGTTCAATCTCCAGCAACATGGGAAAAACAAAGAAGGACAAATTATTTCCTTAAAGTTTGTTTTATTTATTTACACATGTTTATTTGTCTGAGGGTATGAGCAAGTGTGATTGTGCAGAGGCCGGAAGAGGGAATTGGATGCCTTGGAGCTGGAGTCCTGGAGTTTGGGGGATGCCCAGCTTGTTAAGTGGGTTGCTCAGGTCAAAGTTCGGCTCTCCAAGATTGTCCAGCAAATGCTCTAACTGTTGCACCATCTTCCCAGTCCCCAAAGTATTTCTGATAGATAAGCTTTCATTCCATTTCTAATTCCAAGCAAATGACATGTTATCAAATTTAAGACCTTACAGTGGCACAGCACAATGAAGGTAAAAAATAGATGGAATTTCTCAGGCTGGTGCATGCCTGGAATCCCAGCCTTTGAGCAGTGGAGGCAGGAGGAACAAGGTGAGCCTCCTTGCCTAGTGAGTTTGAGGCTAGCCTGGGATACATGAGATGCTGACTCAAACAAAAGCAAAACTAAAAACAAAAACATGACTGCTTCATTGGTAAGTGGGAACTCCCATTGTTTCTCCTCCTTCCTCTGCTGAATCATCTCTTCCAATTTATTCTCAGTTGTTCATTTATTGTGGGTAATTGTATAGAAAATTCTGCCTCCCAGAGAGAAGGTAATGCTTCTCACTTCTGTGTAATAAAAAAAAAATGTTTTTCAATAAGTACAAGGCAATGTAAAGGTCTTCTTTAAAATGTGAACAGCCAGGTGTAGTGGCTGACGCCTTTAGTCCCAGCACTCGGGAGGCAAAGGCAGGCAGATCTCTGTGCTTTCAAGACCAGCATGATCTACATAGGTCAGCTGGGGCTACAGGGAGACCCTGTCTTAAAAAGACAAAATAGTTAAATAAAGAAAAAAAAAGTTGTATCAGGGCTGAAGGGATGGCTCAGTGGTTAAGAGCAATGGTTGCTCTTCCAAATGACCCAGGTTCAATTCCCAATACCCACATGGTGGCACACAACTGCCTGCACTCTAGTAGTGCACACATATACACTTAGGCACACACATATACAAATAAACTAAACTGAATAATTAACCTTAAAAAAAGAAATTAAAAAAAAGTTATCAACTCTGAATTGACATACTTTCAGACCTTGATACTCAGAATTAGTTTAATACTTTATTTTTATTTGATTTTATGTGTATGAGTGTATTGCCTGCACGCATGCAAGTGCACCCATGTTGTGCAATGTCTACAGAGGTCAAAAGAGGGCGTCGGATCCCCAGGAACTGGAGTTACGGACAGTTTTTGGCTGCCATGTGGGTGCTGGGAACCAACCCTGGGTCCGCTGCAAAAGCAATCAGTGCTTTGTTAACTACCGAGCCATCTCTCCAGCCCCCAGAATTAGTTTATAACCACTAAGAGCTAAACTTGCAACTGTAAAAATTATAGTGGCAGCTGGGTGTGGTGGTGCATACCTTTGATCCCAGCACTTGAGAGGCAGAGGCAGGCAGATCTCTGTGAGTTTGAGGCCAGCCTGGTATACATATCGAGTTCTAGGCCAGCTGGGGCTACAGGGAGACCTGCCTCAAAAAGACCAAATAAATAAATAAATAAATAAATAAATAAATAAATAAATAAATAAATAATATTTTATTTATTATTTTCATTTTATGTGTATGAATGTATTGTCTGCATGCAATGTCTACAGACGTCAGAGGAGGGCACCAAAATCCCCTGGAACTGGAGTCACGGAAGTTATGTTAGCTGGCATGTGAGTGCTGGGAATCAAACCAGGGTCCTCTGTATGAGCAGTCAGTGTTCTCAACCCCTGAGCCATCTCTCCAGTACCTGTGGTAATATTTTTTTAAATATTTTATTATCATTTTTTAAATTTTACGTGTATGAGTGTATTGCCTGCATATATGTGAGTGCACCCGTGTCCTGCAGTGCTGCAGAGGTCAGAAGAGGGCTTCGGATTCCCCTGGAACTGGAGTTAAGGATGGTCCGTAGTCACCATGTGGATGCTGGGAATTGAACCTGGTTCCTCTGCAAGAGCAGTCAGTGCTCTCCGCTGAGCCATCTCTCTAGCCCCGGTAATATTTTTTGACTCATTAATTGATTTAATCCTCACAAGGGCACCAAGAAGTGGTCTCTTGGTGATGGATAGGCCTAGGGTGTTAACTTTTGTTTTTGTTTGGTTTTTTTGAAACAGAGTCTCCTTGTGGCCCCAGCTGGCTTGGAACTTGCTATGTAGACCAAGCTGGACTCCACCTCAGAGATACACCTGCCTCTGCCTCTTTAGTGCTAGGACTAATACCACCACACCAGGTTCTAGTAGTTTTAACTCTTAAGGGAAAAGACAATGGTATAAACTGTTCTAATCTTTGGAGTAGATCAGAATGTTGTATCTCCACCCTGGGCCAGAGGTACATTCCATTCTTGTGACCAGAGAGTAATATCTTTCCCTTAATGGGCCTCAACAGAGCTCTGATAAATTCAATAGCCCCAAGGCTACTACCATATTTTCTCTTTGAGGACCCTAAATCTTTTAGGAGATGGGCTGAGATGCAGGAGTAGATATAACCTACTTCCAGAGAATCCAGAGATTCGGTTCCAAAGCTGTTTTCCAGAAGGCATTAGTGTCTGGAATGGAGTTCCAGTCACACCCTCACATGTAACATCCTGGCAGAAGTTAAGAGAAGAGAGATAAAGAAACATAGCATTCCTGGCCCCAGGCTAAGACAGAACCAAGGACATTTTGAACGTGGGGGGAGCGGGGGGGGGGGGAGACACGGGACCATGACACGACACACGTCAAGACACAAAAAAGAGGAGTATGCCAGGCGTGGTGGCACATTCCTTTAATCCCATCCCTCCGGAGGCAGAGGTAGGTGGATCTCTGAGAGATACAGGCCAGCCTAGTTTACGCAGTGAGTTCCAGGCCAGCTGTGGCTACAGGGAGACCCTGTCTCAAAAAAAGAACAAAAAAAAAAAAAAAAAAAGAAAGAAAGAAAGAAAGAAAGAAAGAAAGAAAGAAAGAGAAGAAAGAAATGAAGAAGCCAGACACAGAAGAGTATATGCTCTCTGATTCCATTTGTATGAAATTCTAAGAAACGTACAGTAACAGAAAGCAGACTGATAGTTGCCTGAAGACCGGCGCGGAGGTGATCAATGTCTTTGTAAATACACTAATTATGCTGTCAAGCATTTTTGCAGCTTTTTGTAATATATTCTTAGGAACAGAATTTCTGGGTCAAAGACATAGATCTCATACAATTTGATTCCCCTGCCTATCTCTTTAACTCACTAAGCTACTAAATCATTTATCCTACTAGGTGAGCCCATTCTACTTTTTCTCAACCTGTTTCTCTGACTCTGTCCATGTCTAATACACTGACTGCTGAATACTAATCACAAAGGTTCAGTAAGTATCTCAGTGTGTCTTCTATTTATTCAGTGGGCGCTGATTGAGCTGTCCTCCAGATGTTTATACCCAGCCCTCATTTTATAGGTAGGAAACGGGGACTGAGGGTACTGTGGTAGAAGCCGAGTTTGAATCCAGCTCTGCTGCAAACTGAGTGTCTTTCCGGACTACTCTACGTCCTGTGCAGTAGTGCTGAGAATTCAGTGGAAAATACCGGACTCACGGGATAGAAGCACTCCTTATTTAGTTAGTCAATGAACAATTTCTGAATGCCAAGTGTATTTCCAGTGTTATTTCAGATAGGATGGAAACTGAACGATTGCTAAATTCAAGTTTCTGCATTTTTACTACTCTTGTATTTAACTGGGAATAAAACATTCTCTAGAGTCATTTTAGACTCATGCAAGTATAGCTAATTAAAGTAAGAGTAAGTTATTACATAAATCTGTATGCTTTTTTCCTCAGAGGAGAATCACTTTGTATAATTTTATAAAATATATATAA